CTCAGTTTCATTTACTGGGAAGACACAGGCGAAGAGATTTCACCGGGAACAATGACAGTGCCTGTCACAAAATGTTCTCAGTGTTGCCATTTGTTACTATGGCAGTGACAAAGAGGGTTCCAAATGAAAAGGCAGACCTGCTGTGACAAAGCACAGCAGGACAACAGAAGAAATTTTCTACTGACCTGGGAAATTAGGAAATCATACTTAGAGATTATAGACCTGTCTGTACTTCAAAAGGTACAATCCTGGCACTTGGATTTGAGGGAAGAATGTGAAGAGCGTTCCATCAGTGACAAATAAAGAGCAAAGGTGACAAAGTGCTTACGATCTCTAAGCAGAACAAGGAGGAATGCTTGTCAGGGCGAGAGGAATTTGCCACTGTCACTAGAGCCTTGTGATTGAACTAATAATTTAATTCATGTCCATTTGGGGTAAAATTACCCATGAATAACCATGATGTACTTGTATGCCCCTTAATTGGCTAAAAGTAACCCAGGACACTCTTGTACTGAGCTATGTGAGCAGTACATGGTGGCTGAAGCCATGCTTTATTTATTTCTTGCTTTCTTACTTAGTGCCCATCCTGGGGCTTGAATTCAGAGCCTGGGTGCTGTCACTGAGCTTCTGTGTTTAAGGCTAGGATTCTACCACTTCCTGCTTTTTCTGAGTTAGTGTATTAGAGATAAGCATCTCATCAATTTCCTGCTTGGGCTACCTTTGAACCATGATCCCCAGAATTTGGCATGAGCAACCGATGCCTAGCCATGATGCTTCATCTAAAATCATGAAATTCAAAAAAAGAAAATTATTGTTCTTCACCATAAAGTTGACTGGAATACAGATAGGCAAAGTTACAACTAAGACTGCAATACCCTTAGACCAGAAAAACTTGAAAGTTAATAGATGAATATACTATCTATCTAAAGATGGACTGTGTCAATTAGAAAGGAGATATGTTAATCAGGCAATGAAGCAGAAAAAAATGTAGAAAAGGAAAAGAGTAAAGAAGCTAAAAGTTTCCATTGTTTCTCCGTTTATGTTCAGGATAGAGTGAATGAATGAATTTAATCCTGGAAGGTTTTTATTTTTGGTGGTAGTCCTGGGGTTTGAACTCAGGGCCTGAGCATTGTCCCTGAGCTTTTGTGTTCAAGGCCAGCACTCTATTTCTGGCATTTTTGGTGTTTTATTGGAGATAAGAGTCTTAGGAACTTTCCTGTTTGGGCTGGCTTTGAAGTGAGATCCTCAGATCTCAGCCTCTGAGTAATACCCAGCTTGCTGAAATAATTTTTAATCCTAGTAGAAAGGCTCTTGCTGGTGTGCAGATGGGAGTAGGCTTACAGGTTAAAATTCCATTTTAACCAATAGATCTCTTAAAAAAAAAAAGAAGTATTTCCAATCCAGTAGACTGTTTCTGCTGGAAGAGGGTATTAGGTAGCTTAGATCAATGCCATTAAACAGCTGAGTCATACAACTTTTATTATTTGGATTTCATGCTAATCAAGCAAGTTTATAATCTCTGTTTATTTATCTCTGTAGTGTAATAGCTTCTAAAACTTAGTGAAGAGTTCTTGGTTCAAATTTACCAGGTAATGCAGACTTTGGATTCTATCTTTTCAGTTTCTTCCACTCTCTCCCTCCTTTCTATAACCTGAGCTCCATAAAAAAATTTTTGTCTTGAAAAATCGCAGGCTGGCGATTAAGCTCAGTGATAGGGTGCTTGACTGGCATTTGTAAGGCCCCTGGATTCCATACCAAGTACCAAAGCAAAGCAAATCCATTTTAAGAAGTTTATAGAAACATTAAATTACTTAATATATGTAAAATGGTTAGCCAGTGGTATAATATAAACATTATCTACTGCTATTACTAGATAGCTTGAGTTACCCAGAATACACTGGATCCTCTAACTAAAGTAACTAACAATAGGCTGTTATCTCATTGCATGACCTAGTCATTTCAGGGTTGATTATCCTGGGAATTGCACAGAGGAGGTTTAAAGTGAGAAACTACTAATGGATACTAATTCAGTAATTACCATCAAAGTTTGCCTAGTTTCAACCTGTCTTCTACTTTTTCTTTTTCTTTTCTTTTTTTTGTTTTCCAACAGGACCTTGTTAGATATCTATATAGCCTGGGCTGGTCTTAATCTCTTGATCCTACTTAGCTTCTAGAGTACTGTGATTACATTGCACACTGTGTTCAGCATACTTTCTCCATTCTGATTTTAACAGAGTGAGTAAAATCCAGTTGTGAGTCTGGATAAATTAGAAATAATGCTGTCAATGCTCACATGGGGCCAGTGAACTGTAGTCTGTGTCAAATCTGGGCATGGCTTGTTTTTTTTAGAAAGCTAGAATGTTAAGAAAGTTTTATTTGTTTTTTTTTTGTTTGTTTTAATAATTACAAAGTGTTAATTTAAAAAAAAAAGTGGTATCTGGGCGTCGGTGGCTCACACCTGTAATCCTAGCTGCTCAGGAGGCTGAGATCTGAGGATCTCGGTTCAAAGCCAGCCTGGCAGGAAAGTCCATGAGATTCTTATCTCCAATAAACCACCAGAAAACTGGAAGTAGCATTGGGGCTCGAGTGGTAGCGTACTCACCTTGAGCTGAGCTCAGGGACAGGGCCCAGCCCAGAGTTCAACCCCCAAAACAATAGCAACAAAAAAACCAAAAACCAAAGCAAAACAACAACAACCAAAAATCCCAAGGAAGCAAGCAAGCAAGCAAATATTCAAGACAGCCTATATGTGGCTTGCAAAGCTTGAACTATTACAATCTGACCTATCACACATACATAAAAGGTTGTTCCACAGTTTCTTTTCTCTTTACTTAACTGTACCCCGGTAATAAATATAACTAGACTAGGTAAGTAGTGTGGGACAAAAGAGGTTTAAAATCTTCTAGCTAAAATTCCAACTGCTTTGCTAGAGATCATATCATATCTATGATAACTTCATTGTATGGCTTTCTGAATGTCACAGAAATAGAATACTTACAGCTGGACAGATTCTTTTCTTTAAGTATCTTTAAAAATTAATATATATTTTTTATTGTGAAGATACTGTACAGAGGGGTTACAGTTACATTTCCTATTGAGCAGTTACCCACTCCTTTGTTTTCCCCTAGCACCACTTCCCTCCCCAGCTCCCCAACTTCTCCCTCCCCTCCCCCCAAGTTGTAGAGTTCGTTTTCAACATAGTGTCTTGTACATCTCATTGTTACAATAGGTCAATCTGTATCTTCATTTCAGGAAAAGCTGGAGAGGTTCTAAAGTAGTGAGTAATTCATATACAGGGTACCAGGGTACAATTTTTTTGGAATAAGATTCTTGTCTAAGCAGTTTCTAACCAAAAAATTCCATGTTTCCTTAGTGCATTATTCAATACAGATTAATTCTGAGTAAAATATTTTTACCTAACAGGTATATACTCTGAAGAGGATGGAATAAGAAAATTGACAGCCATGTTATATTTTCAGTGATGAAGATTTGCAGAGGAAGGAAACCAAAAAACAAATATAATGGTGAAATAGGATATTGTCTGTGTAATGAACTCTTGCCAAAGAATATAGGGCATGTAGTATTCTATCTGATACCAGTTCACTGAAAACTGGCTATGGAAAATTTTGGAGAAGGAAAGTAAAAATTTATGTTGGTGAAAAGACCATTAAAATAAAAGGATATTTTATAAAGAATATTAAGTTTAAACTGTCACATAAATTTAAATGTTTCTCATGATTCATATTGTTCCTTTAAGGGAATTGGGTAGTGGTCAAGCAATAATGTGTATTGCTTGATGTTATGAGAAAGAAATAATGATTAGGATATAGCCCTTTGGACTATATTTCAAGACCAACTTAACTACAATGAACTGTAAGGAGTTTAGACCTATCACAAGAAACTTTGAATCAGATTTTAGTTTTGTCTAAGTCATCAAGCCACAAATTTTCTAGTTGTCTTAAATTTATTTGAGTAAATACATTAGTCCTTATAAAATTTGCCAGTTCTTACTGAGACCAAATTAGGGAAAATTTTAACTTTTTCTAGTATAATATACACCCATTATTGTGTTAGAAACAGATGTTATAACCAAGGGATATAATCCAGAGACACTATGAGGTTATTAGCATGCTGCTTAATATTCACTATGACTTATTGGAAGAAACATGTTAACATTAGGCCTGAAGGGCTATGAGTATACTATCTACTGTACTTAATGCAGCTTGTTTATGCAATACTCTGATAGATAGAATTAATCTTGTGAAAATGACTAGGGTATAACAAATTATCTTTACCAAATATATATTTTTCCTGTAGTAAAATCCCTTTGTAATACTCCCCTTGTAAAGAATATTATTAATTATTAATTTTGGTGTGCTACTCTTAGAACTAGAACTCAGGGCCTTGATGTTGTCCCTGGGCTTTTGGGATAAAAGCTAGCACTCTACCACTTGAGCCACAGCTCTATTTCTGGCTTTTCTGATGCTTTATTTGAGATGTCTTATGGACTTTCCCTCTAGGCTAGCTTCAAACAGCAATTCTCAGATCTCAACCTTCTGACTAGCTAGGATTACAGATCTGGGCCACAAATGCTCAGTTTATTAACTGTTTTTATTTTTAAAGTAATTTTATTTTTATTTTTTAATTTTTTGCCAGTCCTGGGGCTGGCCTCAGGTCCTAGAAACTGTCCCTGAGCTTCTTTTGCTCAAGGCTAGCATTCTACCACTTGAGTCACAGTGCCATTTCTGGCTTTTTCTGTGTATGTGGTACTGAGGATCAAACCCAAGGCTTCATGAATGCCAGGCAAGCACTCTACCCACTAAGACACATTCTCAGCCCTTACTTTTGTTTTTTTTTCAATACCATTGATGTTCATTGATACGATGGATAAAGAAAGACAGATTGAGAAACATACTTGACAGAAAAGTATCAAACAGAGCCATATATATGCAACATATATGCAACATATTTCATTACTTAAAAATATAATGAGTCTGTACCTCCAACAAATGCATCTCCAGCTCCAATGGTGTCAATAATTTCTTTCTGGTCCTGATCCAGGACAGGAAAAGCAGTGACTTCATTTTCTGCAATTAGAGACAACAAGGCAAACTGACTTCTCTTCCCTTCTTCTTTTGTTTTGTTGGTCATGTGGCTTGAACTCAAGGCCTGGGCTCTGTCTCTGAGCTTATTCATTCAAGGCTAGCACTCTACGACTTAAAGCCACAGGACCACTTCCAGTTTTCTGGTGGTCAACTGGAGATAAGAGTCTCAGGGATATTCCTGTCTGGGCTGGCTTCAAACCACCATCCTCAGATTTCAGCCTCCTAAGTAGCTAGGATTGCAGGTGTGAGCCACAGTTGCCTGGCTTTGACTTCTTCCTTACTGGTTTCAAGGGCAGAAGCAGGACATTAGTTCTGTATTTTGTATTTGAGCTCTTGGGAACCGAGGTGCAATCATCTACATATAATAGTTCTTTTGTTAAATTTCAGGACATAGGTGGTGTATATGTCTTGTGAGTTATACCGAGGTAATTCACATTTTAAGTGTAACAATTATAAAGAGCAGCAGTGTATTTCCTGGACAGTACAAGTAGTTAAATAGAAACTATGTGCTAAAGGAAATATTCGTATGGATTAGATAATGGTCTCTCACAAAGACCATGTTCCTTCAGTGAAATCTTGGATGAAGTTACAAATACAAAGCTATAAATTTAGAAATACAAATAATGAGTCTTGAGAGCTTCTCTACAGAAACCCGTAAATAGCACAATAAAATTATTACTGTTTTGTTATAACAACGTCAATGTCAAGGATTGTTGATTTTCCTTGGCTTATCATAAACAAGCTCATCTGGTCAGCTAACAAAAGGGAGACAGACCACTGAATGTAAGTATAATGTACACAGTGCAATGGGAAGGGTGGGAGAGAGAGGGAAGGAGGCAGAGGAAGGGAAAAGGAAGGAAAGGGAGGGGAGAGGAGAGATATTTAAGTGGGTTTTATTAGAAATAATTGGAAAAGGGCTGCAGTCTGATTTAAGAAAAGGTCTGTATCATAAATATTTATAAAGTAATCTAGTTTTATTACTTCCAAATATAAGTTATATTCTTAAGGGAACTAACAACTATAAAATAGAACAAATAGGCACTAAATAAGGAAAATGAGCTAAGCTAATGACACCATTACTATTAATACTAGGGTTGAATTGTATAATAATACAAAATGTCTATAAAATACTCAGTAATATAAGAATTAAGTACCAGATTTATATATTTTGAAATAATTATTTTAAATGGAAAGGGAAGCACAATTAGGTGTAATTCTTAAAGTTTCCTGTTTGAAAAAGTTATTTTGTCTCTTAATGCCAGTCCTGGGCTTGAACTCAAGAGTCTGGTCAGTTCCCTGAGCTTTGTGTTCAAGGCTAGTACTCTACTACTTGAGCCATAGTTCTACTGTGGCTTTTTTTTTGTGGTTAAGTGGAGCTAAGAGCCTTCCAGTCTTTTATGCCCAGGCTGGCTTTGAACTTTGATCCTCCGATCTGAGACTCCTGAATAGCTAAGATTACAGATGTGAGATACCAGAGCCTGGGTAACTGGACAAATTTTTCCTTATGAGCTGGGCACCTGTGGCTCATGCCTGTAATCCTGGCTACTCAAGAGGCTGAGATCTGAGGACTGAGCAGGCAAGAAAGTCTGAGACTCTTATCTCCAATTACCAACTGGAAAACTGAAAGTGGTACTATGGCTCAAAAAGGTAGAGCAGAGCCAGGCGCTGGTAGCTCACGCCTGTAATCCTAGCTACTCAAGAGGCTGAGATCTGAGGATCACGGTTCAAAGCCAGCCTGGGCAGGAAAGTCTGTGAGACTCTTATCTCCAATAAACCACTAGAAAACCGGAAGTGGCACTGTGGCTTAATCGGTAAAGCACTGGCCTTGAGCTGAAGAGCACAGGGACAGCGTCCCCAGCTCAGAGTTCAAGCCCCACGACCGACAAAAAAAAAAAAAAAAAAAAAGAGCAGGGACAGTGCCCAAGCCCTAAGTTCAAGCCCCTCAACTGACTAAAAAAAATTTTTTTTAACTTATGAGTAAAACCTAATTGAAAGTGGAAGAGAGTATTTTGAACCATGGTTCTTACTCTAGACAGCTGAAAACTCTATATGAGGTTTGATTATACTGTTTTTATGGATATATACATAGATTGTTGCTGTATTTTATTTTTTGTTGTTGTTGTTGGTCATGGGACTTGAACTCTGGGCCTGAGCACTGTCCCTGCTGAGCTCTTCAGCTCAAGGTTAGCGCCCTACCACTTGAGCCACAGCACCAATTCTGGGTTTTTTTTCTAATGCATGTGAGGCAAGCATTCTACCACTGAGCCAACTTCCCAGCCCTAGTGGTATAAATTATATACAAGAATATTAAAGGGCTGGATGGCCACACATACAGGGCTAGTGGCTCACATCTGTAAACTTAGCTACTCAGGAGGCTGAGAGCTGATTGCGGTTCAAAGCCAGCTTGGGCAGGAAAGTCTATAAGACTTTTAGCTCCAATTAGCCATCTTAGAAGTAGCACTGTGGCTCAAAGTGCTAGAGTGCTAGCCCTGAGCAAAAAAGGTCAAGGACATTGCCCAGACTCCAAGTTCAAGCTCTATGACTTACAGAAAAGACAACCAAAAACAAAAGAATATTACAGGACTGGAGATTTAGCTCACTGATATAGCATGCACAAGGCCAAACAAAAAAATATTATATATATCTATATATAGATATATATCATAATTTAACATAGATACAATGCAGTCTCCATTATTTTCTGCATTTAGACAACTAGGAGACCCCCTTTCAAGACAATGACCCTGGAAATCTGCAAGATCTTGAAATGTGTTCTGAGTCATGGAAGGTAGATTAAGTAATGTTTAATCATATTAAAATTCAAATGACCAGCACAACCTACTTCACAGCTATACTAGACAATTTATCATGAGCATCACCTGAAGAACATTCACTAAATCTCAAGACATACTGTGAAGCTCAACTCACATGATTCAATTGGGTACAGTTTTTTGCTTTTCTTCTTCCCAGTATTGGGGATTGAATTCCAAGCCCAGTACTGGTTCTCAACCACTTTAGCCATCCCTACCTCCAAGCCCAGGTGGGGTCTTGATTTTTTTTTTCTGTTGGTTATGGGCCTTGAACTCTGGGCCTGAGCATGTCCCTCCGCTCTTCAGCTCAAGGCTAGTACTCTACCACCTGAGCCACAGCGCCACTTCCGGTTTTCTGGTGGTTAACTGGAGATAAGAATCTCATTGACTTTCCTGACCAGGCTGGCTTTGAACTGAGATCCTCAGATCTTAGCCTCCTGAGTAGCTAGGTGTGAGCTACCAGCACTCGCCCCCTTGCCCCCCCCCCTTTTTTTTAATCAGTCGTGGGGCTTGAACTCTGGGCCTGGGCGCTGTCCCTCAGCTCTTCAGCTCAAGGCGAGCACTCTACCACTTGAGCTACAGCGCCACTTCCGGTTTTCTGGTGGAGTCTCCCAGTCTCTCCTGCCCGGGCTGGCTTTGAACCGCGATCCTCAGATCTCAGCCTCCTGAATAGCTAGGATTACAGGCGTGAGCCACCAGCGCCCGGCTCGCCCCCTTTTTTTAAGACTAAAGATATTACTTGATATTATAGGGGAAGGCTTTATAACACTGGCCTAGACAATGAGTTTTTGGAATAAGAACTCAAAAGTAGATAAATGAGATTTTATATATATATACACACACATATATATATACACGTATATATAAAGCTTCTGTACAGCAATGGAAATAGAATGAAGAGATAATGTATAGAATAGGAAAAAATATTCACAAACTACATCTGATAAGTAGTTACTATCAAAATATACAAGGAACACAAACTCATTAGCAAGGAAACAAGTGGCATTATTTAAAGTATACAAATAGACATTAAAAAAAAAAGACATACAGATTTTTTTTTTTGTCTCCTTTGTATGTTCTTCCCGCTATGGTATATCCCCTGTTGTCACTGTACTTGATTTTGGTACCCTTCATCTTGTATCTACATTAGTGTAATTTGGGGAGGGTAAAGGAACTAACAGAATGCTAAAACAAGGAAACAGACACCCATTGCAACAATGATACCCACAAGACAGTATATTGGAAATGAACTTTACAACTTTGGAGATGGGGGGGGGAGCAGTAAAAGAGGTGGGGGAGGGAAAGGATAGTGGGAGAACAACAAGGAAAGGGGTAACAATGCTCGACAAGAAATGTACTCATTGCGTTACTCTAGTAACTGTAGCCCCTCTGTATAGCAGCTTTATAATAAAAATACATACATACACACATACATACACACATACATACATACATACATACATACATACAAATAGCCAATAGGTACAGGAAAAATTCTCAACATTACTAATCCTCAGGCATTGCAAGTCAAAACTGTAAGTTATTACCTCACATTTGTAAGAATGGTTATTATCAAAAAGACCATCCAAATAACATCACCAAATGATGTGGAGAAAAGAACTCATATACACTTGGTGACTTGATAAGTTAGTACAGACATTATGGAAAATAGTACAACAGTTCTACTACTGGGCCCACAGCCAAAGGAAATGAAATCAGTATTTTCAAGATGTATGCACTCCCTCATTCACTGCAGCACTATTAACAATTGTTAAGACAGAATCAACCTAAGTGTCCACCAACAGATACATGAGTAAAAAGTTGTAGTATATACACAAAATGGAGTACTATTGAGCTATAATTTGCAAAAACCTGGATGAAACTGAACAACATATTAAAGCAAAATAAACTAGGCACAGAAAGACAACTATCACATGATCTCACCCATATGTAGAATATTAAAAAACTGATGTCATAGAAGGATAAAAAATGGTGGTAACTAGAGGCACGGGGCTTAGAAACTCCATCAGACTTGCTTTCTTGGGTAATGGAAAAAATGTTCTAAAATCTATTAAGGTAGGGGCTGGGAAGGAGGCTCAGTGGTAGAGCATTTGCCTTGCATGCTCGAGGCCCTGGGTTCGATTCCTCAGCCCCACATAAGCAAAAAGAAAA